CACACACACACACACACACACACACACACACACACACAGCCCTGCCTTCTTCCCCAAGAAGCTATTTTTTCTCCCTTTTTGAGTGGGTTTGGGCATGCCCTCCCTTCTTACTACCTCTCATCAACTTCTCTACCTCCTTTCCAGATTTGATAGGAGCTCCCACCTGTCCAGACACTATACAAGATACCAGAAGTAGAGACCTACAAGTCTGCTTCTCTCCATCCTCATTGCCCAGAACCAGGAAGGTCATGAGCTTCCAGTGCTCACCCCCACCCTTCTTGCTGCCAGGTAGGTGGCTCCTCTCTCTACCCACCAACCCCAAACAGGGTCATATTTCTCTCTGGAAATATTTCTCTCTGTTGTTAAATATTTCCAATAGGCGGAAGGCCTTAGTGACTCAGCTCTCCACCTTGCGACTTCCAGTTTTAATCTTTAGCAGGACCTTGCTGATGTTAAATATCCACTCCTTTCCTATAGTTCAGGACGATTTAGGCTAAGGGTCCAATGACAGGCAGCATTTCTCTTGGGGCTGGAAGTCTAAAGCTCCAGACATGCATTCTGCCCAGTGGCCTGGCATCCTTGGAGAATACCTGGATCTTTTGAGGGAAAGCTGTGTTTATCTGGTGTCTATTCCCAAGGACAAGGATCTCAGGCTCTGAGAATCTGTCTCTATTCATTCCCAGACCTCTCCAGGGAGTAAGAAAGGATTGTTGTACAGCAGAAACCCACCACCAGGGACGCCTGGGTGGCTCAGTCAGGTAAGCATCTGCCTTTGGCTCAGGTCATGATCCCAGGGTCCTGGGATTGAGTCCAAATCGGGCTCCCGCTCAGCGGGGAGCCTGCCTCTCCCACTGCCTGCTGCTCCCCCTGCTTGTGCTTGTTCTCTCCCTCTCTCTCTCTCTAACAAATAAATAAATAAAATATTAAAAAAAAAAAAGAAAAGAAGCCCACCACCAGGTGATAGTGTCTGGAGTTCAGGTGGCATAGTTCAGGTGGCAGGTCTTGTCTGGCACCTGTAAAAAGTTGGCAGGGGTGCCAGAGCCTCTCCTGCCATTGGATGTGACATCAGCTTACCTTTTGCTCTTAGGCCTCCTCTCTCAGCAGCTCTTCTCTTATCCCTGCAAGCCAGACAGCACAAGCAGCAGCCCTAATAAGTGCCAGCTCTAGATAAGGTGCTCCCTCTCTGGTTGACACATACCTTGAGTTGGAGTTAGGATACAGTGGATGGAAGGACAGGAAGTCAGGAAATGTCCCTGGAAGTGGTCGAGCAGTAAGCGTGCATGAGTACCTTGAAGACTCAGAGATCATCAACATTTATAATTCTACCCGTCCAGATAACAATCTGGATGTCTGATGCCTCAAAGCTGCTGGGCCACTTGGACAGCTGCAGTCTTGGTTTCTGCCACACGAGGGTGCTGCTGACCAATTAAAACTCCTGCCCCTTAGCAGACAAGAGTTTGGGTGACAAGAGCACCCTTTCCTCAAAACAGGGATCAGAAACAATCTGAGAGAGCCTGAGAACCAGGCCCCAAGAAGCCAGAAGAATAATTAGTACCACTTGCTCTTCCTTAAAAATGGCTTGAGACCCTGAACACTCAGCCCTAGTGGCCTGACATCTTAGTATGTTTCCATCTGAACTCAGGAAGCCCCCAGCTCTTGGCACCAAACATCTTGCATAGGTGCTTTTCTCCCTCAAGGTGTAGCAGGTTTCAGCTGTCCCCCCGCCCCAACTGTCTCCCTGCCTCTTAAACAGTCACTTTCTAGTCCAGAGGGTAGGGGTACCTATGGTTTTCAGAGAAAAAGATCTCTCACAATTGTTATGAGGGAAGTATCTTTGTTAGTGAGAAAGCGTTGGGGAGAGGACTGAGAGTGGGAAAGTTCAGCCTTCTGTGCCCCCATCCCACCTCCCCCAGCACAGACCTGCAGAGCTCAAGATGGTCCAGTGGATGTTTGCAGCTTGAGTGGCTGAAGGACACCCAAAAAAAGGTGTCAGGGAGCCGGATGGGGAATAGGGATGCTTTGGCCCTTGAGCTTTAAACTCACCCCATATGGTGTAATGGCTCTGCCGAGGATCCAAGTGGCCATGGGGCCCTTATGGGGGTGAGGTATCCCACAATGGATCCTCCATCTCCAGGAAGCCCTTTCAGGCTGAACAGGCTAAGGGAGATGACAGAGGTTCTCCTCCTCCCTCCTACCCCCATGCCCGAGGGCCCCTCCCCAGGAGGACAGCTTGATTAAACAGTCGGTGCTGCTGGAATTACTGCACAGCTGGCGCTCCCCCCAGCACCCCGAGCAGAGCAGCAGCGCAGATTAAAATCTCCAATTAGCGTTAAAGTGAAGTGAGGAGGTACTGAGGCTGCCAAGGAGGCCAGGCGGGGGCCCTGGGTTGGCAGACACTCCCACTGGTGCCTGGATTCTGAGCACCACCCTCAGTTATCCCTTCTTTCCTAGCTCCTCTCCCAGCAGCTCTCAGTGCCCATTAGCTTTGCATTGCTTGAGGCCACAGGGCTTTCTAAGGGGCAGGGGGTGGAGCAGATGCATTACCTGACAAAATGCTGGGGACACCGTAAGTGTGAAGGAGAACGAGTGATCAGTGCTTGTCAGGGGAGACATCCTGCTCACAGCATGCCAGGCAGCCAGGTTGAGGTGACTTCACCCTACTGCTGCTTCTTTTTGCCTAGAGAAAGGGCAAACAGGACAGGTCCTCCAGACCCAGACCCTCTTATCTATAAGGTGCTGAGTGTCGTGATGCCCACACAAACATCCATCCTTGTATATTTTATCCTATCTGACCCATCTGCTCCCACCCAAATTATGGCTCTGTTCTTCCTTGCTCCCTGTTATTTTTCTCAGCTTTCCTATGGGAAAGGGGGTAGGCACAGCCTAGCTTGGGAGCATTGCCATGCCCTGCCACCTGGGTCCTAGCCGGCTTCTCATTACCTCCTTTGCAGTTTGGGGAAAAGCAGGGATATGCCAAGAATGGAGGCCTCAGACTCTCCAAACCTCTGAACATCACACCCCGTCCTAAGGGCCCTCTACCATTTACACTTCTGCCCTTCACCCACCAAACCCAGAAGGAGGGCAGCACAGCTAGTCACACCCTTTGACTTCCCTCTGCCCCTTTAAGGGAAATGGAGGTGGGTACCCAGCTGACTGAACCTACTCACACCTCCAGAAATTAGACACCAGGGCACAGTGCCACCCTCCCAGGCTGGCACATGCTACCCTGGCAGAGGTTCAAATAACACCCCCCCTTCATCCTCCCACCCCTATGTCTTCCTCTTCTCTCTCCCTCTTTCTTCCTCTCTCTCTCTCTCTCTCTTTCTTTTCTTTTTTTTTTTTTTTCTCAGCTCAAAGCACAGCTGAGCCTTAAAAGGGGAGGGGGGAGACCAAGCTGGGGCAGAGGGGTGGAGAGCTCCAATAGCACGTTTTCACCTGCCATTTAATTGGATGTATTTTTAATTAATGGGACCTCAGGGACCAACATGAGACAATCTGATCTCTGAATAGGGACAGGGGAGGGATTGGGTTAGGGAGGAGGATTGGGCCACTGGGTGCGGTTACTGGGAACCCAGGCCCATCAATCACTGGCCACTTTGTGCTCTGGCATGGGGAATAGTGAGGTGGAGGAGGAGGGGAGGTGCTGGGGAGAGTTGCCAGGAAATTCCCCCCAACTGCCAGGACCTCCAAAAAAGGATAGAATATACTAGTTGACTTGGGTCTGATGCCCAAAATTGCAGCCAGGATATTAGGTAAGGCTAATCCTTGCTCCTAGGATTTTGTCCAGTTGGGCTTGTTCCAGTGAGTGATATAAAACTGAAAGGAAAGTGGGGACAGAGTTTTGAGGTCATTGAAGACAGAGGGCAAGAGCTAGAGACCATAGAACCAGAGATTGTGTGAGAGGAAAGAGGAGGGCAGGGTTTAAAGATATTTCTGAATGTTTAGACATAAGAGAAGTGCCCTGGAGTTTACATGCAAAGCATGTGAGGCCTGATGCCTTTGGGGTGTGAATCATAGAAGCTTACTGCTGCAAGGGAGAGAACTTGGAGTTCATCTTGCTGACCTCTTCACTTTACAGATGTGGAAATGGAGACCCAGAGAGGAAAATCAGTTGAATCCTGTCCTGGAGTTGCTTTGTGTTCCTGGCTTTGGAGAGTTCCTGGGAACCCAAGGAAAGGTAGGTAGGTAGGTAGGTAGGTAGGTAGGGCATGGGGAGGAAAGTCAAGGGAAGAGGATTGGCAGGGTTACTACTGGAGTCTCGTATTTCTGGCCTCCAAGTCAGAAGCAAGTGAGAGGAGCCAGACAGGTGCATTGTTGGAGGAACATTTCCTTTGCACAGCTAGTTCCAGGGGTCATCTCATCCGTTCTCCTGCTTACAAGCAGACAGATCCCCGGGAGTCCCCCACTCTCATGGGATTTTACTATACTCTGTAAAGTCCACAGAGAAGGCAATGTACCAACTACCCTAGTTCCTTAACCAAGAAATAAATCTCCCAAAGGTACTAAATATTGAGCTCTTTTGAGATCTTTTTACAAGTTTCCCTTTCACAGTATAAACTGCTAGAGAAAATTATGCCCAAAATGTAGGGAGGAGTGGTCTTATACCTTTGTCCCATGTCTAGGCCTAAAACAGAGACAGGGTTAAAATTCAAGGCTCGGAAGGCCGAGTCAGAAATGCCCCTGAATCATGTGGTGCCATGGCCCCAGAGCACTTGGTCAAGCCCTGTCCGGTTTTGTGCTGTGTTGGTGCACAATGGAGAGGAAGACATGTTTCCAGCTGTCCACATCCCCACTCCTCCTTCCTTTACTGTTCAGACACTAGGGTTAAGGAGGGAAAGAATGAAGGAGAAAAGAGGCTTTCCCACCAGGTTGCCAAAGGTGGTATTTCTTGGCATCTTCTTCCTTCCTTAAAAAAATTCAAGATTCTTTGTTCTGTGCTTCATGAGACTAAGCTGGAGTCAGGGCAAGGATGGGCACAGAGCTTGGAAAACAGTGTGGATAGAAACTTCATCACACTCTCCAAGCCCCCACATCTTTCCCCCACTCCCAAGATTGTCTTCTCTCTTAGTATCCCATTTTATATCCCCAAAGTCCCTGAGGAAGAGCAGGATGTGCCTCTTTTTTTTTTTTTTTTTAAAGATTTTATTTATTTATTTGATAGAGACACAGCAAGAGAGGGAACACAAGCAGGGGGGAGTGGGAGAGGGAGAAGCAGGCTTCCCGCCAAGTGGGGAGCCTGATGCGGGGCTCGATCCTAGGACCCTGGGATCATGACCTGAGCTGAAGGCAGACGCTTAACACTGAGCCACCCAGGCGCCCCAGGATATGGCTCTTTAAGTGGCCCACATTCACCCTGCCTTATGTTTAGACCTTCAGGATCATCTTGCCTTCTCTACAAACAATAAGTGAGAAGGAGCCCTCACATCCCCCCGAGACAGTCTGGAAAGAATCCATCTGCCTCTTCCCCTGCTTCCAAAGGCTTGTAGTAGTGGGAACTGGGAGGAGAACTGTGCCAGGGATTTGAAAAGGAAGATTCTCTTGTCTGGGAAGGTCAGGGAGGAGCCTGAAAAGGGGGAGAAGACAGAGAGGGGAAATTTGGGAGCTGAGGCCTGTAGTCCCATCTGTGGGCCTGGCTGCCTAACCTAGGGTAGGCCGTTCATACTGACTATTACTCGTAGGATTTATTAGAGGCTCCTGTTTACAGAGCTGCTGTTTCTCCTTTGAAATACAGAGCAGTGGAGAAGAACAGCAAAGAAGAAAGGGAAAGGGCATCAGGCTTTTGGTAGGCCCTTTCTCACCCCTTATCCACCCCTGCTTGAACATTGGAGGCATATTGGAGGGTCCAAAAGGCCCTTAAAGCATTCAATCTAGATTCTGGATTTTTCTCTAAGGAACAGGGCTTCCCTCCCCAAAGTCCTCACCAGCCCTGCCTCACACTTCCAAGGTCTAGGCAAGGTGCCAGATCTACAGCCCTGGAGTCAGACCCAGGAGAGATCCTAGAATCACTCCTCAATACCACATGTTCCTCCTCTTTCTCAAACTTTCTCCTTGGCCTCCCTTTTCTTCTACCTCCCTTCAGCTAGCTCCACTCCTGGCCACCTCATCCCTTTGAGTCTGAGAAGATATGGTAAGTAGTTGTCTGTTCCCTACACTTTTTCTTCCTCTCTTCCTGGAGTCTGGAGTCCAGAAAGATTGCTGAGCCTTTGCTGGGAAAGAGGAACAGGCTTGAAGTAAGTGGGAGGCAGAGGTAGCAGCACCCAGAATGACCTGCACTTTGGAGAAAAAGGAGCTCTGTATTGGCCCAGGGTTTAGCTTTTACTCTGATGGGACTCCTCCTTTTCTCCTTCTCCCTCAGTGTGTCCCAGGGGTTGGTGAGAGATCTGGATGTCTGAACCTCCCACCTGAGACCTCGAAGGTTGTTATACATATCCCCTCTCTAGCTCCCGAAGCCATGGAGGAGGGGAAGGAAGGCATCTCAGAGGTGGCAGCACCCAGGGAGGCCAAGGAGAAGAAACAGTGACCAGAGAGGGAGCCAGGAGGAGAGGCCTGCTCTTGAAACAGTCTCTTTATCCCATCCTCTCCGGCACCCCCTCTCACATGCTGACAAGGCTGTGTGCCCAAGTGTACCAGCTCTCCTGGCTGGCAATTCTGCTCTGCCGTGCAGGCGTCCGGTTCTCTGCTCCGGCAGAGCACATGCTGGGGTCTCTCACACTCCTTTGCTCACTCATCTCAGCGTGTCTGTGTTGCAGATTCCTAGGGATGAAAGAGGAAGCTGTGGCCCTGTGAGTAGGAAGATGGTGGGCTTGGGGCCCTTTGGGTGCATATCTGCCTCACTGGAGGGCAAGGAGGGAGAAGGCTGCTGGCAGCTCAGCTGAGCTCAGGGTTCTGGTGACTCAGAGCGATGGGGGCAGCTCATGAAAACATCAGAGGGGAAGGGGGTCCAGGCTTGTTAGACCTCTCTTTTGCCCCAGTTCTCCCCAACTCTGAGCTATGTGGATGAAGTTCTCTCATCTGGATTGTACGGCAAGGAGAGGCTCCAGCTATGAAAGGGCTGGGGATGCTCAACCTCCCTTAATCATTCCCAGAAAGAGTCTTCCCATTGAGGAAAGGATAGGAGAGGCCGGTAGTATCCTCTGACCACAGTTCCAGGGGGGTTAAGTCCTTTGTTTCAGCAAAGGGAAGTGGGGATCGTTGGTACTAGTGTATCCAGATAGTAGTACCATCCCTCTAACCTCAGGGAAGGATGGGCTGAGTGAGAGGAGGAGAGTTCTCTCACAGAGCCCGTTTTCATTTGCCTGTTTCATTGCTGGCAGCTCTGCTCTCCAGCTTGGGGTGGTGGAGGGGGTGCTCTCTGTCAGGTTGCTTCTGGAAATCCAGAGATGGTTTTGGTTGGAGAAAGTGATAGACCAGCCACTTTTCACTCTTCACTCTTCCTCTAGGGAGACGAGACCATCTCTACTCCCCCAGCTCTCCCTGGCAGCACTGGGAGCCCAGGGTCCCCTGCTGGAATACCCATAATAAAGCTCAGTCCTGAACTGAACCAACACATCACCTGGCTTTGGTATAAAAATGGTGCTGTGAGGGGCAGCCTGGGTGCACCAGGTGGGTATAGACAGGTGTGGGTAGTTTAGACCCAGGAGAGATCCTAGAATCACTCCTCAATACCACATGTTCCTCCTCTTTCTCAAACTTTCTCCTTGGCCTCCCTTTTCTTCTGCCTCCCTTCAGCTAGCTCCACTCCTGGCCACCTCATCCCTTCGAGTCTGAGAAGATATGGTAAGTAGTTGTCTGTTCCCTACACTTTTTCTTCCTCTCTTCCTCTACTCCGAGTCCCAGCCAAGAGTTACCCCATTTGAACTCTTTGTACCAGTGAATGCCATCAGGATCTGAACGCAGAATTCTCAGCCTGCCACCCCACCCCCCACCGACTCTGGGAATGCCACTCTAACTCTGAGACTGGCTCTTTAGTGCTCGTCCTCCCACAAGGGTAGCCAGGCCAAGACTGGTATGTCCGCTGACCTGAGGCAGAGGGCTGCTGTAAGGGTGCAGTGGGGCCCGGCCCTAAATGCATGTATGCCTGTGCATTGGGCACACTGGTTTATTAGTGTTATTTCAGCATTGTGATGCAGAGAGAGTAAGTGTAACAGCTGCTCCTTGCTTGCAGTGTTTATTGTTACCTAGAGACAACCTCCTGGCTTTTTCCCAGCTCCCCCTCCCCCCCAGCCCAACCCCCTCCCTGCCAACAGTCCTACTCTCCCCACACTGTTGGGAAATTTATAGCTTGCCCATACCATGCCTTTAACCCTCTCCTGTCCATAGGGTAGGTGGGGCGAGGGAAGCCAAAGAGAGCAGTGGGCATGCTTGGGCCCCAGAAGGGTATAATGGTGTGCAGGGGAAGGGAGGGAGGGAGGACACTGCCCTTCACTGATCTGTGTGTCCAGACTCAGGCTCCAGTTGCCCAACTCCTTAAAACAACTCTCTCATGTTGAGAGAAAAGAACTTTGGATCCAGCATCTTCCTCACAAGATGATTCTCTTTCCTGGGCATCTCTAAGCTCCCCCAGTTGGGCTGCCTGGTCCTGAGCAAACAGAGTGAAGTAGTATTGAAACAGGAATAAATATGGAGTGGCAGAACCCCCAGCCCTCTCCTTTCTGTAGAGATGTCCTAACAAGACTATTAAGAGACTCTGGCATCAGGGATGCTGGCCAGACCTTCCCAACTAGGGAAATGTCAAACATGAAACTGGCTGCTGAGTAAGGTGGGAAAAACTGCCCACTCTAACTTTACCCCAAGCCCAGCACTCAGGTCCCAAGAGACTCCCAGACCATTCTCCAAGCTTGTCTCCTTGGTCTGGTTGGGCTACTCCTCTCTGCTCTTCTTCCTGGCCCATTTTCTCCTGCTTATCTTTTGGTTTGATAGCTTGGATCAAATCCAAGAGACCAAGGGGACTGAAACATCTTAGTCATGGCCTCAACAGAACTGGGGAACGAGAAGCTCCTCCAACCTCTCCTGACCTAGGACCTTTCATGGAAGGGTACCATGTCATATATTCAACTGTCCCTACTGGAAATAAGAGAGTTTGAAGAGGGATCAGATTTTAGCAAAAAAGATAGAAGGTAGGTGTATGGAAAAACTTACTCATGGGATATAAAACTTCAGAATGGGCCTACTTCAGAGATTTTTTTTTTTTTTTTTCCTGCCTGGGATAGGTTTAAGTCTGTGCCTACCAAGGGGAATTGAAAAAGCAGGATTACTTTTCTGTGGCTTCTCCAGATGGGGGCCTCAGTGCAATTTCTTCACTAGCTGTGGGAGTGCACCCCTTCTTGGTCCTTCTAAAGGTAGTAGCTGATGGTTAGATCACAAGTTTGGGAGGCAGGAAGCCTTAGGTTCTAGCACCAGCACTGCCATTAACCAACTGTGCGACCTTGGTAAAGTCACTTAACCTCTCTGAGCCCTAGTTTCCTTGTCTATAAAATTCAGATAAACAACTCCTTAAGGTTGTGGAGAGCATTTAGTGAAATAATGTCTGTAAAGCACCTAGGACACTGCCTGATACTCCGTAGGTGCTCAGTGGTTGATACAATAAATAGTCCATTACTCTTTTTTTTTTTTTTAAAGATTTTACTTATTCATTTGAGAGAGAGAGAGAATGAGAGCACATGAGAGGGGGAGGGTCAGAGGGAGAAGCAGACTCCCTGCCGAGCAGGGAGCCCGATGCGGGACTCGATCCAGGGACTCCAAGATCATGACCTGAGCCGAAGGCAGTCACTTAACCAACTGAGCCACCCAGGCGCCCAATAGTCCATTACTCTTACGGAGTCACCAGGGCTGATGTTGCTTCAACGACTGACTCCATGAGTCCTCTGAAATTACAGGCCAAATAAGTGAATGTATACATGCAGTTTGTCAAGTACATTTACCTACATTAGCTCTTTTAATACCCAGCATATCCCAGTAAAGTGAAGAGAACTACCATTTATTGAATGCCTACTATGTGCCAGGCATTGTGCTGGATGTATTTTTAGGTATGTTTAAACTCTGTGGAGTATCATCACCTAAACATGTCATGATTTACAAGGCTCATCCCCTATTTTTAATCATTTAGGTATTTTACTCTTATAAATAATACCAGAATGAACATTCTAACACATAAAACTTCATGCATTTTTTTAAAGATTTTATTTATTTATTTGTCAGAGAGAGCACAAGCAGAGGGAGAAGCAGGCTCCCTGCTGAGCGAGGAGCCCAATGCAGGACTCAATCCCAGGATCCTGGGACCATGACCTGACCTAAAGGCAGACACTTAACCGAGTGAGCCACCCAGGCGTTCCCTCTTCATGCATTTTTATAGTAAATTCTAAAAAGGAGAATTATTAGATCAACAGATACAAATATCCCCTGTTCCCTATGGTCATTTTATTGATATACCCCTGAGAATAATGTTTTTTAAATCTTCCTCTTTGGAATTCTGCAATGGAAACACAAGGGCAGCCCCTTTTCTCTCCTAGGCCCAACAGAGAGACATTAGTAATCTATCATAGCTTTTTTTTTTTATTGAGATAATTGTAGATTCACATGCAGTTTTAAGAAATAATACAGAGATCCCTTGTACGTTTTTCCTACTTTCATCCAATGCTAATATTTTGCAAAACTATAGTACCGCAACCAGAATATTGACATTGATATAGTCCACCAATTTTACTCAGATTTCCCCGTTTTAGGTGTGTGTGTGTGTGTGTGTATACAATGTTATTACCTGTGTAAATTTGTGTATCTACCACTAGAGCCAAGGCACTGAACAGTTCCAACACCACAAGGATTCCTCATGCTGCCCTTTTATAATCACACCTACCTCACACCCTCCTTAACCCTTAGCAACCACTTACCTCCACTTCTGAAATGTTGTCATTTCAAAAATGGAGTCATACGCTGTGTAAGTTTTTAGGATTGGCTTTTTTCTTTTTTTTTTTTTTTAATTTATTTATTTGACAGAGAGATAGAGAGCACAAGTAGGCAGAGTGGCAGGCAGAGGGAAAGGGAGAAGCAGACTCTCCGCTGAGCAGGGAGCCCGATGGGGGGCTCGATCCCAGGACCCTGGGATCATGACCTGAGCCGATGGCAGCCACTCAACAGACTGAGCCACCCAGGTGCCCCAGGATTGGCTTTTTTCACTCACCAAATCCATCCACGTTTTTGTATGTATCCTAGTTGTTTCCTTTTGTTTATTCTATGGCATACCATGACCACATGGACCACAGTTTGTTTAACCATTCACCTGTTAAAGGACACTTTGTACTCTCACTTTGTACTCACTACCAATTAATGAAGTAGCTCATTTTACTTGGTGTGCTGACTGTTTTATACTCACAATTATTAAGCTTCTTTAATTCTTCAGGCATGGCACTATTACTATTTTCGTTTCATAGATGAGGAAAATTGAGGCTCACAGTAAAAAATTCTCCCAGGATCACATGTTAAATGGCAAAGAAGAGCCTGGAACCCAAGATAATAGGGCTCTTTCTACTGCACGAGGCTTTCTCAGACCTTGACTGATGTTTCTGGGAATAGGGTGTGGGCAGAACCAAAAGAGGGATGTTGGAGGCAGAAAGAGATTGGAGCAGCGTGGGTCAGTTCAGGTCTTCACAGCTGACGTTGGTTCATAGGTTAGAAGAGCAGAAATGTCATGGAGCAGGGAGCAGTATGGTATGTGCCTTTGAAATTGTTTCCCCTTTGCCAGGAAAGAACAAGGCTGAAGTGGATAGAGCCCATGAGCAGTCTGCCCACAGACCTGGGCCCTGGAATCAGAAAAGAAGCCTTTGGGTGTCTGTGAGAGGGTGCGTGGCTAGGGTCCTCCATGGAAGTGTGAAGCTGAAGGTGTCTCTGAAGAGGTCTGAGGAAACAGGCCATGATGAGTGAGCACTCTGTTCCAGAGGGGTAAGGGCAATAATCGTACTTTTTTTGGTGGTGGGGGAGCTACAGGTTAATTGTGCACGTGCGCGTGCACACACACACACACCCCTTGGGCAGGCACAGTGTCTAGGACATGGTACAGGGGGCAAGCAGAGTGGAAGCAAAAATGCCAGTCCGGCACTTAGTCCTTGCTTTACAACTGTTCCTTACTCCAGCTGAAGCTATGGACAGTGAAATCAGAAGGAGTTGGAGAAATCATTTGGTCTGTCCCTCAGCCTGTGGGCACTGGTTGAAGCTGACAGGTGGAAACCTAGAGTTGGCCCAGACATGATGAGTGGTAGAGATGCCAACTTGTGGGAGAGAAGGTTTGGCTCCTCTCCTGGGAGCTATGTCTGGCCAAAGGCGGCCTCTTCCCACCTCCTGCTGGAACTGGCTCTTTTATAGCTGATGTTATCGTTGCTCCATTGGCCTATTCCAGTGGTGTAGACTCATAACAATTTTCCCTATGTACTTATGGCTCTAGAACCAGGTTGAGAGCACATACCACTTTTCTCCATCTCCCCTGGCCCATCAGAAATGGCACATCTCCCAGTCACACCCACCACCCATGCCCAGTAATTCCAGCCATGGTGGATAAA